CTGAGGACAGCAACATCAACCTCCCAGGCTTATAACCTGGAAACTGTCCTAGATTTCTCACTGTCTCCCATATCTAGCCCTAGGGCCTGTCAATGCTCACTTCTCTCTTCTGACACTGCCACTCAATAACTGCTGAGAAGTCCACCTGCTCAAGTCTCTCCTCACTCCAGCCTATCCTCCATTGAGCCATGAAGTGATTTTTGTAAAGTGTAAGTCCAATCATGTCATTCATACCCTCCTTACTCAATAAACTTCAGCAGTGCCTTATTGTCCCCAGGATCAAATACAAAATGCTCTGTTTGGCATTCAAAGTCAAGACATTTGTAATCTAGCCCCCTTCTATCATTCCAGTCTCCTTATGCCTTAATTCCCACACTGGTCTCCTGGCTATTCCACCTCTCAGCTCCAGGCATTTTCTCTAGCTGTCCTTCATGCCTGGAGCACTATCACTGTCAATGACTCCTGAACTCCCAGACTTCCTTTAAGACTCAATGAAAATCCACCTTTTACAGTAAGTTTTCTTCCCAACTCTTAATTCCAGTGCCTTCCCATTTCTATTATCTACTATTTTTCATATATATATATATATATATATATTTGTTTGCTTCTTGACTCATAAGCTCCATGGAGAGAGGAACTATTATTTCTTGCTTTTTTTTGTATCCCCAGTACTTAGTGCCTCACAAATAATAGGTGCTTAATAAATGTTTCTTGGTCAAAAAAAAATATCCAAAAATTTTTAAATCAATAAAAAATTGTCTCCTAAAATTGTTAAAAAGTGATAAAGTCAATACAAATTTATTTTTAAAACCATCTTCTTAAACAATTAGATTACATCAAATTAAATCAGTGGTTCAAAAATCCTTATACTGAATAATCTGAAGCACTAAGTTTCTTTCTTTCTTTTCTTTTTTTAAACTATACCAACAAAGACAACTATACAGCAATTACCAGAACTTAGAGGGAAAAAAATCTGGTACATTTATTATTATAAGAACTAAATTTTGTAGAGACACACTCACTGAGTTTCATGTTATCAGACTATCCTCTAAATTTGCAATTTCTAAATTAGAAAACATGAACTCTTAAGTATACAATTATACAGAAATGTCAATTAAGCACAATAAAAAATCCATATGAATATAATAAATTACAATAATTATTATAATAATTTCTTAACACCTAACTGAAAAAATATGGGTAAAGGAACCAAAAATTATTAAAATACCTTGTCTTTGACTGTTCACCATCTTCATGTTCAGTAATGTTTTCAGTAACTTTCAGTCCGAATCATCCATGCTCACTTGATAAATGAATAAAAAAGATTTAAAAAATAAGCTGTACTCTGTCATTTTTCATACTATTGCAAAAATTATACAAAAGTGTACTTAATATTTTAATAATTACTTAGCAGATGGACATCTGACCATATCAAGTCTGACAACATCACTCCACTACTCAGTAAATTCTGGTGACTGAAATTAATATAAACTTTTATGCCTAACTTTTAAAGCCTCATTCAATCCTGCCCCAATCTATCTTTCCAAATTTGTTAAATATTAATTCAGTCTTCATACTGTGATAGAGCCAAACTGATCTTCTCTCTGTTCCTCAAACATCATACTCAATCTGATTTTACATAGACTTTATCATTCCCTTTGCAATACACTTTTCCACCTCTGCTTCAAAGAATACATCCCTTTAAGATCGAATTAAAGTATTTTATGACCTTCTTCCAGGTTATATCCCAAATGCGAGCAGAGTTCTCTACACTGTATACATATATATATATATATATATATATATATATATATATATATTTGTGAATCTTGTTTTCTATTAATATTAATTACAGGGATCAGTAACTACATTTCCTGACTTTTTGCACTTGAGTCCCCGAGCATAGTCTACAATTCATGTATGTGGGCCTACAAATATTTCCCAAACCTTGCACTCCAAATCTTTTGCTAAGAATATAAAGTTCTGCCCCGTCAACTTAGTTTGCTTAGTTATCGTTAGCCAAAATTCAAAATTTACTTTCTACAAAAAGCCTTTTCCAAATCATTTCCCTTCCCCCTAAATGCTAATGTCCTTTTTGGTATTATCCTCCATCCACTCTGAATGTATCTCATATGTGTAGTTATTCATATGCTGTTTTCAAAAAGGAAATGAAGCAATCACTTTTGAAGATGATATGGTCTACGTAGAAAACTAAAGATTCAGCTAAAAATTAATCGAAACAACTAACAACTTCAAGACAGTAGCAAGATCTACACAAAGTCCACACAAACTATCATGCTCTTCTGTTTTGAGTGTGAAAATCCAAAATGTAATTATTTCCTAAAGTTCTATTAATTGATTTTTACATCATGATGGGTTTAAACTAAAAAAGAAAAGAATGATATTCAATGAATGCTTTTAGAAAACCCTTATACAGTTCTGGAAACATGGTGGAATAGGCCAGAAAATTCTAGGCTCTCCAAATTTCTTCCACAAAAAAAGAGAGCAAAAGTGAACACAGAGTGGTAAAAACAACAAAAATCTAGGTAAAGTAGTTGTCCTCCTAACACAACTTGAGAGGACCTCAGGAAAGACCCAACCTACAGGCCAGATTTCACTAAATCAAGAAACAAGAAGCCCTGGCAGCTGAGTAGGAAGTAGCTGAAGTAACTTTCATTTCACAGACTGGAGTAGGGAAAGCTTTGAAGAACCCTCTCCTGTCCATGCCAAGCCCACCTCTGCTGACCAGACATGATTCCAGGCTGCAGCTGTGGCCAAGAAGGAGCCAGTGAGTGCAACAGCAGAGGGGTTGGGACCCTGCTGGCTGCGGGAATTGGCAGGAGAGTGGAGCCCCAAATGTTGGCTCCAGGGCAGAGAGAAGAGCAGCAAACAGAGTAAGAGCATTTGATGGAATGTTTGGTTGGGGTCTCTAGCCCTGGCATACAGGTGGAAAGGAGCCCCTGCTGTTGGACTCCCTAAAAAGTTTACGTAATAATAGTAAGAAGGACTTGAGCCCTGGGGCACCATTCCCCACACCTAAGGACTAGAACCTGATTACAATAATAAGCAGCTAAATTCTAACAAAAACAAAATAAAAATGAGTGGGCAAAGGGTTCTGAAAGTCAACTGCTCTGGGGACAAAGAAGATCTGAGTCGATATTCTGAGGAAAATAGTGAAGCTAAAAAAAGCCAGTCCTACTTAGAAAAAAAACCCCAACAAAAACATCAACTGGTCAAAAGTCCCAAAAGAATGGAAGAACTTGTTGGGGCAGCTAGGTGGGGCAGTGGATAGAGCACCAGCCCTGGAGTCAGGAGGACCCGAGTTCAAATCCAGCCTCAGACCAAACACTTCACACTTACTAGCTGTGTGACCCTGGGCAAGTCACTTAACCCCAATTGCCCAATAAATTAAATTAAATTAAATTAAATTAAATTAAGAATGGAAGAACTTAAAAAGGACTTCAAAAATCAAATAAGAGACATTGAGGAAAAATTAAGGGAAAAAAACCACAAGATAATTATGAAAACAGAGTCATCCAAGTGGAAGAATAGATCCAAGAACTCAAAGAAGAAAATAACTCCTTGGAAACTAGAATTGGGCAAGAGGAAGCAAATTATATGGCAACAACAAATAATAAAATAAAATCAAAAGAATGAAAAAATAAGTGAATGTGAAACATCTTACTAGAAAAACTACCGATCTAGAGTACAAATTGAGGAGAGACAATATAGAGTTGTTGGACTACCTGAAAGTTACGATTTCTAAAAAGTCTAGATATCATATTACAAGAAATCATTAAGGAAAACTGCTCCGAGCTTCTGGGACAAGAAGGTAAATTACAAATAGAAAAAAGCTACCAATCATCACCTGAAAAAGTTCTCAAGATGAAAACTTGCATAATAGCATAGCCAATATTAAAAGCTCCCAGGTTGAGGAGACAATACTACAAGCAACATGAAAAATTTTATTTTAATACTGTAGAGATACAGTCAGGATTACACAAGACTTAGCAGCTTCTACATTAAAGGACTATTGGTCAGGGGCAGCTAGGTGGCACAGTGCACAGGCCTTGAAGTCAGGAGGACCAGAGTTCAAGTACAGCCTCAGACAAAACACTTGACACTTACTAGCTCTGTGACCCTGGACAAGTCACTTAACCCTAATTACTTTAAAAAGAAAAAAGAAAGAAAAAAAACAAAGAAAAGACTATTGGTCTTCAACATTATTTTTCAGAATGCAAAAGAGCTGGGGCCAGAACCAAACATAATTCAACAAGCAAAGATGATGATCCTAAACAAAAAAAAGAAAAAAGACATTTAACAAACTAAAAAAACTTTCAGGTATATATGACAAAAAGTCCAGAACTCAATGGAATAGTCAACATATATGATCCAGAAGAAATATAAAGTGAACATTAAAGACTAACTGTAAGGGACTCAAACTGTTTACTTCTTACATGTGAAAATCTTATCAGTATTCTTAAGAAAGGTTGGGAGTGAGCTAATTATGACAGAAAACAAAACTGGATAGGAAAAGGTAAAAAGGAGTAATGAAGTGTGAAAGGACAGGAGCAATAGGGGTGGAGGGCTGGTAGAACTGAGTTAAAGTTAACTTGGTGACTTTCACGTGACTTCATTTATGTATCATTTTTCATAAAAAGCATTCTATGACCTATGTTTTCTGTGAAGGTTAAAATCCTCATCTGTCTCTGCCTGTTCTGGGTGAGGACTGGATAAATGAATTGAATCAGAATTAATTTAAACTGAATGATTAAATTTTCAGTTCTAGAATAATTAACAGTTAATTGGTAAATAATGTGAAGTTAAAAGACTTGAATAAAAATTCTGAGGAATCACTAAGATCAAATAGATATAGATATAGATATGTAATTTGGAAGGTTTTGAGAGTTCGATCTTCTGTGGTATTTAAAATGTTTAGTTTGTATGTATGTTTGTATGTATTAGTATGTATGTATTTGTATGGATAGCTTACCAATGTTATCAGTAACCCTTTAGCTTGTTGTGAACAGTGTTTATATTAAGTACAGAGTTCAGAGTACGATAGGAATGGTGTTGGTTATTTGCAATGTAAATTCTCTCTCAAGGTTCGATAATCTTGGGTTCCTATTTTGTTGCTTCCTTGAGAAAATTGTGAGATGTAGTTCATTTTGATCACTATAAAATATAGATAGATAGATAGATAGATAGATAGATAGATAGATAGTAGATAGATAGATAGATAGATATAGATATAGATAGATAGATATATTTGTTATCTCTCTGATTTAATTGAAAACTAAGTAAGCCTTGCGGACCCTCTCTGATTTAGGGATGAGAGTTAAACCTGGTTTTACTTTATAGATTTTTGTGTCATGCTATTTGTCCTTCATTCTCAAAGAAAAATATGTAATCATGAAGGTGATGCCATGGCTTGTGAGTGAATTGCATTAAACAAAGGAAGGCTTTCAGAGTTACCAGCCTCACTTTTTCCTCTGGAGCCTTCAGATTTCATTAGTCAGACGTAGATTAGGATGACTGGAGATGGCCAGAAAACCATGGGGGAACCTGGCCTTGTTAAGAAGAGGTCCATCCCAGCTGTCACTTTGACTTCGACTTTGCCCGTTCAGTGATTAAGGCTAATAAAAAATGGTACAAATAATGGCTTCTTTTTAAAAAATAGATCTGGAGGGGTGGAGCCAAGATGGCAGAGTGAAAGCAGCAACTTGCTTGAGCTCTCCCCCAAATCCCTCCAAATACCTATAAAAATGGCTCTAAACAAATTCTAAGGCAGCAGAACACACAAAAAGACAGAGTAAAGCAAATTTCCAGCCCAAGACAACCTAGATGATTGATCAGAAAGGTCTATGGTGCCAGACTGAGAGAGGAGTGCAGTGTGGCGTGGGCGTGCAGGCCTCAGAGGACTGAATCACGGGCAGCTGTAGCTGTTTCCAGACTCCTCAATCCACTAATGCAAAAGACAATTTAGAAGGTCAGTGGGAAAAGTCTGTTTCTGCAGTGCTGAGACAGGAAGGCGGGGTCTCACCTCCATTCTCCAAGAGTGTGGCCCTGGGCGGGGCAGCTGCTTCCCGAGCTTCTGGCCCACAGACTGAGGGAGAATCGAATGGCTGATCAGAGGGGGACTGCAGGGATCTCTCTGCTGGTGATGAGGCAGCAATCTCTTGCTTTGCCTGTGCTTGGATCTGGGTCACAGTTCTGGACGGGGGTCCTGGGGTGAGGAGAACTGCTGGCACGGTGGAGCTTGTAGTGGCTGTGGACAGGAAACCTTCCTCACTGTTCCAGGAC